CTACGCAGCTTGGTATGGTTCAATCCCTGGTCTCAAGGTTGTCAGCCCTTGGAGCGCCGAGGATTGCAAGGGTCTTCTCAAGGTTATTATTTTCTACAGTTCTCCGTTTGTGTGGCTAACAACTCTAATAGGCTGCCATTCGAGATCCTAACCCAGTCGTATTCCTCGAGAATGAGATGATGTACGGTGTTACCTTCCCCATGTCTTCAGAGGCCATGTCAGACAACTTCACCATTCCCATCGGCAAGGCAAAGGTCGAGCGTGAAGGAACCGATGTCACTATCGTGGCACATAGCAAGATGGTCACTCACAGTCTAGAGGCCGCTGACATTTTGGCAAAGGAGGGTGTCAAGGCTGAGGTTATCAACCTCCGTAGCATTCGTCCTCTGGATATTGACACCATCAAGGCATCAGTCAAGAAGACCAACCGGTCAGGCAGTCATTTAGCTTAATGGATTGTTACTCAACTATTGCGTTACAGTCTACTTATCGTCGAGGGTGGTTTCCCCGCCTTCGGTGTTGGTTCCGAAATCTGTGCACAGATCATCGAGAGCGAAGCCTTTGACTACCTTGATGCTCCAGTTGAGCGGGTAACTGGTGCTGATGTCCCTACACCTGTACGTGTCATACCCTAACATGACTACATATCAATACTAATACTTTTTATTAGTACGCCACCAACCTGGAGGCACTCGCATTCCCTGATACATCTGTCATCGTCAAGGTCGCCAAGCGGGCACTTTACAGGACCAACTAGGCACACTTATACTTTTGTCCACTGCATTTGCTTTCATAATTACACACTCATGGGCGTTAGTAGTCCCCTAGCCGCAATAGATATATCACCCGTCTAAATTGGACATGGTCAGACCGGCCTCCGTGGCCGGTCTGTACAAGTTGCTCTCTTGCCAAGTCGTGGGGTTAATTGCTCACACCATGTCACCTGTCAGTGTCATGAGTTACTGAAACGTTGAAGGTTTGTTTCAATTGCGCCATGTGATGAACCTCCGATTTCTCCCTCAAGTGAGAGTGTTCAGCTATAAGGTTTCCTAATAATTTCCCTATCGGGACCCGCGAGTCCTTGAAATTTATTGGACTCATGCTTCTCTTCGCCCCTGTGGGCATACGAGCATCAACAAGTGGTACTAGGCTACCGTCGCGGCATGTCCAGTAGACACCAGTGGCAGCAAGCAAGTGTTCATGAAAAATGATTCGATGTAAGCTGCAGCTGTGGACCATACAAATCCATATGGATATGATCGGTGCGAGTTGTTCAAGAGGACATGATATTTCTACAGTCACATTGTTAGGCCTTCCTCCACTTCATCCGATTCTCGTCCTAATTATGATTAATTTTCATCATGATTTGTTCGCTTATAAGTTGAAGTTTAATTTACATTCGCACCGGCCTAACTGGTCGTGTCATTTGTCTAGTCCGAATCGACCCGACCATCAAGAGCGTCCACGTAAGATCGACGGACCTCTGGTTTTCCATTCCCATCGGAAGGGATCCAGCCTGTGACAATGATCACGATCGAAGCGGTCAATGGAACGTATAAAGTTTGTACCTGACTTGATGTCATTGACAACAGCAGTATGACAGTACAAACACGACAGTTTTGCAGAAGACCTGATAGAAAACACACGTTATTTCATGTGATATACAACATCACCCGTTCGATACACACTTGTTACTAATCGCCACCTTCCACAATTTCTTGGGTATCACTACATGCCAAGTCGGATACGAACTGCGTTCGCATGGGCTTGCAGCCCTTCGCAGTCTGCCAAAGTCACTACGATAGGTCCCAACGTCTGTAGTCCTTCCATAGTGACCTCCTGCGACGTTATGTGCTTCTGGAAAGACTGTGTATTGACGCCGCTGAACTGACGTGCATATCCGTTTGTGGGAAGGGTGTGGTTCGTGCCCGAAGCATAGTCTCCGCAACTACAGTCATACGATCAACAGAAGGCGTGTGTCTCATGAATATAACTACTTGCCTTTCGGGAGAGTACGGCCCTACGAACACGCTGCCTGCATTTTTTACGTGATCGACCCAAGCTGGCGCGTCCCTCAAGTGTAAAATGAGATGCTCAGGAGCGTAATCATTTGAAAATTCCATGGCAATATCGGTCCCTTGTGTTTTCACGATCAAACTTTTTGCCACGCTTTCACGTACGATGTCGACACGACCTAAGGCGTGCGCTTGTTTATCCACCTCTTTTTCGACTTCTGCGAGCATGGTCTCCGAGAGAGATGAAGCGACCAAGACAACTTGAGAATCGATACCATGTTCAGCTTGTGAGAGTAGGTCGGCCGCGACAAAAGCAGGGTTACATGTGTCATCTGCTATCACCTTGAGGGGAAGTACCGTATTCGTTAGTCTTCCAAGGACAACGAACACGGTACGTCCGCAGTTGAAAAACCAGAGCTACTTACCAGTACCTCGGATGGCCCAGCAGGCATATCTATTGATACCAGTGCATCCGTATCATTTTGTACGAGCATCTTCGCAGCTGTAACCCATTGATTCCCTGGCCCGAAAATCTTGTCAACTTTTGGAACAGTCTCTGTGCCATACGCCAGAGCAGCAACTGCTTGAGCCCCACCGGCTCTGAGGATGGCATGTGCGCCCACTTTATGAGCAACATAAAGTACCTCCGGGGAGATACTTCCATCAGCCCTGGGCGGCGTAGCCATGACGATTTTTTCACAGCCAGCGACTTGAGCTGGGACACCCAGCATAAGTGCCGTGGAAGGGAGAACGGCAGTACCCCCTGGGACATAAAGTCCCACCCGCGCGATGGGACGGGCAAAGCGGGTGCATGTCACCCCTGGCATAGTCTCCACAACAAGTGGAGCGCCGTCAATTTGAGCGGCGTGGAATTTGTAAACGTTGCTGTAAGCAGCGTCAATAGCATCGCGTACAGCAGGATCGAGGTGCTGTGCTTCTGGTGCAAGAGGGTAAAAGGGTGGAAGGAGAAGTGGGGTATCCAATTGAGCCTTGTCAAATTTGGCGGTGAGCTCACGTAGAGCAGAGTCTCCGCGAGCGCGAACATCATCAACTATAGGCTTGACCTTGGCAATCATTTCATCAGATCTGAGGACAGGTCGCTTAAGAAGCTTGGCGCGGTCCTCGAGGGATACAGCAGATATATCAACTGTCTGCATTTGAATGGGCCCATTTCGGTCAAATGGCGGCTTGCTAGAGGGTGTCGATGAAGCTCTCGGCGCTTCCGCCTTGGGTAATTCTGCTTTGGGGGGCTCAGCCTTGGGCAGCCACTGTGGCTTCGCATTTCCTGGCCTTCGACTGATCTTCATCGCCTTCTTGTCTAGTGAGCGCTCAATATCCCTGATGCTCACACCAGCAGCAACACAGCGTGCTAGGGTAAAGTAGATGAGATCAGCAGCTTCAAACGCCACTTCCTCCTTTGTCTTTGCGCGACACAGTTCATCGGCTTCTTCCGTTATTTTTGCTTTCAGGAGCTCCTCGTCATTAAAAAGCTGGCGAGTATATGAACCCTGCGGCGCGTCAACTAAACGCAAGGCCAAAGTACGCTCGAGAGCGGCGAGTCCGTCTAAATCGCCGAAGCACGAGGCGCGGTTAAGGTGACAGAAACCAGCGCCATGCTGTACCACGCTAAACTCGAGCGCATCGGTATCGCAGTCTACGCGAATGCGCACTACGTCCTGCGTGGCCCCGGAGGTCTCGCCCTTGCGCCATAAACCGTGCTTTCTTGAGTGATATACCCCTTTGCCTGTGCGGATTGACTCAGCAACCGATTCACAAGACGAATAGACGAGGCCTAGAGAGCGTTTGCCCTGAGGATCAGAAGATACTACTGTTGGGAAAAGTCCGTCAGAGCGATCTGAAACAATTGGTGCAAGGAATGCATCTGCGATGCTAATCATTGTTTGGGAAGTAGAGCCGAGGGTGAGCTGGGAGAAAGGAATGACAACAGATGCGCCAACGGCTGCGAGTTTTCTAATGATTGAGGGTGTGGGGAGGTCAGGTGCTAAAATATGCACTGCTGCGCCGACGAAGAAGCGTGATACGGAGTGGACAAGGTCTACATCAAAGCCAAGGCCACTCGAAGAAGAAGTTTTAAGCAAGACGCCAGACACAGCGTTGCGAACGGAGTCGGAGACAGCGCTCACGTTAGCAACATCGAGGAGAAGGAGTAATCGATGAGGGGGCACCGTCCCAAGCAGACTTTTGGCAAGAGAAAGAGGCACAATGGCCTTGTCGGCGCTATTATCAAGGAGGGTGATGATTTCATTGACATCGGTAGATGTACTATCTTCCACAAGAAAATAACGGATTGTGCTTTCCGGGGTTGATCCAGATCTGGCGATAACTGGAGCAACACGCGAGACTGCGAGGAGGAGCTCCTCGTCGACAGGTTCGCTGTCGAGTAAAGCAAGAAATGGGAACATGACAAAACTTGACAAGAAGATTGACGCGGATAGATGGATAATCTTGACTTCTTTTAAGTCTTCATGTCATGTACATTACAAATGCCTGCTGTTCAACGGTCCAATAGTGTAGCGGTTATCACCCAAGATTCTGAAGCACGATTTCTTGTGACCCAGGTTCGATTCCTGGTTGGACCTACATTTTTTCCCGTTCTGATACTTAGGTAAGCGCTCTCGATTTCCTAATTTCCAAAGTTGGCTTGCCAAGACAGATCCTGCACACTCAGGTGATGCGGCTGATGCCACATTCTTCAGCCAGCAGAGAAGGAACTACAACTTCGGATAACTCGTTACAGACTCCAAAGATGTAGCATCAGAGTTATCACTGAATAAGGGGGCGTGCTGTCAATCACATGAGTTAGATACTTATGGAACGGAGCAGGTAATGTCTTTCTCACTTCAAGTTCACTTTCGCTATAATCTTTTCGTGCAGTGACATGTGAGGCCTGAGGCCTGAGGGGTCGGCACGGAGGCCGGAAGATAAGCTATTATATTGCCTGTTCTATTTATCAAATCTGAGTTCATGTGCAAGGAGAATATGTCGGATGTCATCTGCAATGGTGTGTCGGTGATGCCGATGTCACTACTGTCCCGTACATAGTTTTCAAACTTCTTGTGAGAGAGTAGGCACATCTTATGATGGCTCGCTTGTGCGTACGCTCACACAGCTTATCTGACTTGGAGGACTTCCATTCACCTTATCTGAAGACTTCTATCCACCTTATCTGAAGACTTTCATCCACCTAGCCCCCCCGCAAGATGTCTCCTCAGGTGAGGCTGCGTTACGACTGCAGGTCGACTCCATACTCACCTAGTCATTCTCAGAATATACGCATCGACGTTCACCATCATGTCTTTCTCGACGCTGAGAAAAAGCAAAGAAAGGCTTGGAAGTAGGCTTCCGAACACCAGAGGAAAATCTACCGTGGACACCACAGATTAGTTTGGCTGCAATGGACAGGCTGGGTGTTCAAACAACGATTCTCTCTCCCCCTCCAGTCTCATCCAGTGGAGCGGAACACCGCGCGGAAGTGAGAAAACAGAATATTTACTCATCGCAATTATGCGCCACATATCCTGGAAGATTCGGATTTTTCGCTTACCTCCCCTTCCTGGATGATGTTCAAGGTACATTTTCCTGTAAAGCTTCCTTCCGCGTTGTTGGTCTTACGTCCTTTGCGAAACACAGGTACGTTAGAGGAGATCGCCTTCTCCTTTGACGTTCTTGGTGCAGATGGAGTGGCCCTGATATCGAGCTATGGGAATGGCAGTTCTGCGAGTACGGCGTTTTGAATTGCAATGCGCTACAAACAATGACACAATGATGCCTTAGAATATGTCGCCGACGATTTATATGATCCCATCTGGGAGGAATTAGACCGAAGACATGCCGTCGTGTTTTTGCATGGCGCTCAGACGCCTTCCTCTACTCCTTACCCTCATCCGTGGCTTGGCGTGCCAATTTCTGAGGTGAGTTCGGTATAATCAAAATAAATGCTCTTGCTCACTCTAAGAAGGTCCCCAACGAGACGTACAAAGCTGCTGCCCACCTCGGTGGTCAGCGGAAAAAAGCGACGCTTTCATAACGTGAACATAATCCTCACTCATCTGGGCGGGAGCACGCCATTTCTTGCTCCACGTGTTGCTGCCCTTTCACATTACATGGGCTGCCCGTTGACGCCGGACGAGATCATAGAAGATTTCAAGAGCTTTTATTTCGAGACTGCTCTTAGCGCGCACGAAACGACGCTTACCGCAATGGCGACATTCGTACCGTCCGACCACCTCCTCTTCGGAACTGATTTCCCAGGTATTTAGCTGCGCGATGCATTACATAATTGATAGTGATCCTGTTTTTAGCCGTGAGTATCAAGACAGTCGAGTGGTACACACAGAACTTGGAGAATCATTTCGCCGGAAGACCATTGGACCTCGCTAATACCATGCATGAAAATGCTCTTAGGCTCTTTCCAAACCTAGGAAAAAGTAAAGACGTTTCCAACGGTGGACAGCAGATCAACGACGGGCCATAACACGCTGTAAATTTGTGAAAGGATGCATTGAAGGCCGTACAAAGTGATGAAGTATGCAAAGGATCATAAATTCGATCTAAGGTAGCAGAAATGTAAATGGATGTCTATACACCGAGCCTGTGCAAAACATCAACCCAGTCACGAATGAACGAGATCCAAAAAAACGTACCTTCGCTTGCTATGTTCATAGACAACATATGATATAGAGACTGAAGGAATGACCTATGACATTGATTAGCGTGGCAGCTACGCCGTAACTCACAATAGTATACCTTCGCTAATGTCGGGAATAGTCCGCGATAAAATCCTCTCCATCCATCCCGTTGATATGTCCTTGTCACTACGTCCCAAGGACCCTTATAGCGCTGTGGATGGCCTGACGAACCTGATGCCTGTAACCGCGTCCGTACCAAATTTAACGGATACACGCTCGTGGCACCTACACTCCCAGATATGCTTCCAAAGGCAAGAATAGCAAGCACACCAGGCTCGTCTCTCCCAGTCGATCGCAGATATGCCAACTTCAATGCCTCAAAGGTGCTCATATCAATCGCCGAGTATCTGTGGTTCGATTAATGGAATAACTTTGTTAAGCCATCAGAATATTTACGGGAAAACTCCAATGAGACCGATCTTGTCTCCTGTCAGATGGAAGGCAAGGTCACCAACAACGCAAGACGAACCGTCAAACCGCGGTAGAAGGCTCGGAAGCGGCCAAGTTGCCACACTCTCCGGGCAGCACCCACGAGGCTTCGTTTCTGGTCGCCTGTCGAACTCATCATTTGTGTCTGTAAGGCACATGTTTATTATATTGTCAATCTAGGAACTCCTTTGCTTCATACCTTCAGTGTCTCGATTGGATATATACCTTCATGGTGATGAGATGAAGGAACGAACAGAAGGAGGATCCATGTTTACTCACTAAGCTGGCTTGAAATTCCGCCAAGACCTCCGGAGAGGAAGCGACTTGTTCCGCTAATGTCCCTCGTGTCCTCCACACGATCCCAATATTGTGCGAAAGCTCGTTTCTGTAGATGTTAGGTCCAGATAGACCGCACGCCAGAACAAGGTACATACAGCCGATTCATACGTCAAGAATTTGATAGCCGATTCAGGGAATATCTTCAGCACGGAAAGGCCATTCCCCGTCCAGAACGCAAGTGCACCGCCTTCGGAATAGATGCGTGCAACTGCGCCTGCGATCGCTTTTAATCCTCCCATCCCTGGCTTAGGTTGGATCGCAGCGCCGCCCATCTCAGGAGGGCGAGTGATTAGGAAAATTTTCACACGATCAAAAGGCGCTGTACATGTTCGAGACACTTCGGCGAGTGTTAACTCACGGCGCAGTCAAGAGTCATAGTTGCGTACCAGCTCCTGCAAATCCACCAGCCATGAGAAACTTGAAAGCAGTGGGAGCTTGCAACCAATCATGGTGTTCCTCTACCTCGTCATCGAATTCGTCGAATTCATCATCTCCAATCACATCGGAACTGTCCCATAGTGATAGTAAAGGCTTGTCTTCCGCACTGAGACTGACGTCACCTGAAAATAATATTCATGCTTCGAATCATGGATGACGGGGATGAAATGTCAAACCTTCCATTGTGACCCGCGCCGCTCCCCTTCCATCATCTCCCATAAACCTCTTCACTTCGTAGTATTGGTATATCTCAGCAGCGGATGCCTTTCGAGGTAATAATAATAAGAAATCCCTGAACTCCCGAAAGTTGATCATATGTGAATGTGGCGACCAAGTCAGATACGTCATGAAGTCAGTCAGTGTGGACGGCGAAAGTGTTATCCCTGGAAAATGATAAGGGCGAGCCATGCAAGATCACACGAATCTCACCGGCTTTGTTCAATGCTAATGCCAATTCCTGCGCATCGAGGTGGCCATTGCCATCGAGATCCAGCTCATCGTGGAATATCGACCATAATTCTAAACCGCCTTTGTGAGATATACCCAGCACGCCGTAACACAAAGTACTCGCCAGCTTCCTTAATCTCGGCATACCGCCGAAACTCAGGCCACCTGATATGACTAGGTCGTTCATTCGTTATGTGACCTCCACACTTCCCAAGGAGCTCATCGTCATATACCTTCTTCATTTCCTCCGCTCTCTGTGCCGCCAGCGGGTCCCCAGCAGGAAGCATTCTTGATGCAGCTACTCCCGGTCCATGGTAGCTCGAATTAGGCAAATGCTTCCATAGTTCGTGCAAACGTCTCTCCCGCTCCTCCTTTCCCTCCTGCTTTCGAAACTCGAGAAGATTGTGTGGAACCGGATGAAAGGGAGGAGGGTCGGACCTCAGTCGCGGGATGAATGGCCGATCATGGGCACCGGTGAGACAGGACTCGTAAAGTTCACGGCTCGTGGGGTGTTTTTCTGGAGCGTCCGCCATGAACTCAAGCCGGGCGAGATAGATAGATTGTGATGCCCGATTACGATAGTCAGTGTAGAATTCATGAAGACATTCTACACGTTTTTGAAACGTTCAGTTGGCGTAGTATAGACCAATAGAAAACTGATGGAGTTCTGTTTACCACTGCTTGCCGAACCAAATTTAAACCGGTCATAGTACTCCCAGAGTCCCAGTCACTTGGCAGATTCTGTCAAACAACTGTTGCAAATCAGTCGTGAAAAATGTGCTGCATAGTCTTTACAAAGAAATGGTAGTGTAAGAATGCACAAATGAGAAGTACAGTAAAGTTACAGTAAAATAGTTTCATTATCCATCAGAGTCCCAATAAACATAGCAAATGCACAAAGAAGACCAAGTTCCCACTACATTACAGACAACATAGACCAGATATGAAACGCTTGAAGCCACTTGCAACCGACTGCCACCAACTGCGCTTTGCACGACCAGCGGCGTCTCGATCAAGGAGGGCAGCAGGGAACTCAGAGGCATCCCGAGTAATCTCTTTATTGATCAGGCCTTGAGCAGAGGGAGTAGCAGTACCCTCGGTCCATTTCTCAGAATTAAGAGTAAAATTAAGAGTCGAGTTGAGAGTAGAGGGACGCCTATCGTGACCAGGAGAGTACGTGGGAGGTTGAGAATACTTGTCATGCCCAGCATGATTAGAAGGAGAGGAGACATCGAAGTGAGCCAGCACACTTGCAGGGGGTGTCGGCAGCGATGGCTTGGGAGGTACAGGCGGAGGTCCTGACTTCTCAATCGAGATCAGCGGAGCCGCGTCATGGTCTTGTTCACGAGAAGCCAAGGGAAGTGTGGAGTGGGGTGCCTTGCGTCAGTTGTCAACCCAAAGTACTTATTCAAAGGTAAGGCACATTACACATACTAGTTGTGATATGATAGTAGGCGTTGGCGAGTCACATCCAGATCCAGCTGATCTGGGCCTCTTGCGTTGGTTGGGGATTGGGGGCGTCGGGGGGCGAAATTCCTACAGAGTATGAAGACTCGATCTGGAAATATTTGAAGTCTACACGCACCTCTTGATAAGACGGCTGCCGCGCCGTGGATCGCATTAGGTGTTCCCAAGGCGTGGGCGAATTGGGACGAGACACGAGTTCCTCGTCGTGGTAACTCTCAGTAGGTGTAGGAGGAGTAAAGTTCATAGTTCCTGATGTCCCCCAATCCTGTGATATATGAGTAAAGTTTGAATTCCTTGATCCAAGGATTAGCGTACAGGCGTTGAGGGTGACAGCCTTTCTGTGGAGGGTCCAGCATCGGTCCCATGAGCGTCGTGGCTCGATGGGCCCACGATTGTGATAATAGCAGGCAGGCCAGACGTCGCTCTGCCCTCTCTAGATACCGCCCGGTCAATTGCGGTACGCCAGTCGGGGGGCAGCTTGAATAAATGGGCGAATATTCAGCTCTTTTAACAAGGAACGTGTGTATGCACTTACAGGAGGAGCGTCCTGATTGATAGAAGTGTGTGAAAAAGAAAACCGTCTCGTGGAGCTCGTCGGCGAACCATGGGGAGAAGCCGGGGGCGAGGGAATGAATTTTGGGACGGGCTTCCTATAACTCGAAGTTCGGCTGGATAGCTTCGGTGCCGACATTGTGACAGAATAGACAAATGTGGTGGGAGACGGTGACTTATGTGCGGCGACCTCTTTAAGTCGAGACGTATGTGGCACCAATTATACCACAATTATAGCCTGTTGCTTTGCGTGGGCCTAGGATCAAAGTAGTCGTATAACAATTAAAGAAAATAATGATGAAAGAGAGAAAGGAACGGACTTCATATATAGAAACGCCTCGAGTTTATCCCGAGGCGGAAGTCATGAAGGCTTGGGAAATTCTCTCTCTTGTCAGCAGCCACGCTTTGGACGTACAGAAGGCTCACCTCATGTATACCGCACGTGTGGCTGCGTTTGACTGGCTACAGTCACAATGAGACAACCGATCGCGACGAGCGCGAATCCTGACAAACAGGTCAGAGGGGAGTCCCAAGTTGCAAAATTGTTTGCCACCGGCATTCATTGATTAGTCGAGGACAAAGAACGATTTCCGCAGCCGTAAAGTCTTAATAGCACGATTCATAAAGCATTGTGCTCACGTACCTGATCTCCAAGGATAACTCCGAGCTTGTAACTTGTTAGGCTGTGAGGAGTCTGGAGGGAGTGCACCCTGTACATTTCGGAGTCAGTTCACCCCAATTATGGCATATCCTCTATAATGAAACTTTCACTCTATTGAACTTTGACTCCGCACTTCCTAACTTTTCCCGATGTGCTTTACATCATACCCGATAAGCACAACGATATATATATCATGATGATCAGTGGAGCACAAGTTCCGTCAACATTTCCCGGCGCCCAAAATCCGCTGCGAAGTAACATAGAAAAAGTCGGCAAACAGTGACCACCCTAACAGTAAGACATAATGCCATTGGATCAAGAAGATGAATAACTATATGTCAGTGAATTGCGTAGCTTTGTATGCGATTGAATTGTACGAGGTACAAGTTAGGTCATTAAATGGCGTTACTCGATGAATAGACAGATGGAAGCAGTGCGTTAGTCGAAGTCGAAGGACATGTCGAGGGTGGGTAAAGTTGAATCAAGGGTATCAAGGTTATGCTTAATGGAGTCCAAGCCGGATGATAACGCATTCTCGTCGTGGGATTATGATTGTCGTTGCAGGCAAGACGGACGCAACCTCCCGGCTCCCGGATCCCGTCGTGAATAGATGAAGTCATAATCAATGTGATATGAAGCGCGGCAAATTCCTCAAGGAAGACTAGACTTCTCTTGGACGAGAGCTTCCAGCAGCTGCTGTTCCTCACGTTGCGTACGTGAGTGCGAAGATAACCGAACCTTCCATTCTTGTACCCATGTCCATCTTGAGACACGTTCCTCTTGACTGATGCTTGATCTATTAGATTGTGGTGAGGAAGATGCCGAGATCAAAGAACGCAGCCGCTCGCGTCCGAGGATGGGTGCTAGTGAGAGAAACGACAAAAACGCAAGTTTGACCAGAATGTCTGGTGAGGTCAGCAGTGACGAAACTGTTTGCTGGGATGGCGAGGTCGTGGATGCAACGGTTTGAAGGATATCACCGATCTGACGTCAATGGTTATTTGGGCACTCCAAGGTCAGTAAATCGAAATCCTACCTGACAAGTAACCGCCGTCCAAGGGAGGCACCCAATGAAGGCACCGAGGAGGCAATCGGAGATCGCAACACCACACACACCACAAGCGATGTTAATTCCCGACCAAGGCACCACGCCAACGAGGCGGAGGACGGACAACCGTGCCCAGGTCGGCGACTTTGATTTTTTACCAGGTTGACAAATTGGATTCTCCCTCCAAGGCGATACGGGTCATGTGGAGTGCACGAGGAAATAGGCGCGATAGGGCTGGTGCTAAAGGTACACACAAAAGAGTTGCAAAGATTGAACCCAGTGTAGTCAATGCAGAGAGGAGCAATGTAGCCAGAACAGGATGAAACAGAGCGCCCGCTAAAACATTCTATTTTTAAAAAAGGAGCCAGGTAAATCTATCAACCAAAAATAAGATAAGCTTCGATTTGCTCACCCAGATGACGCTGCCTGGGATCGACCAAGCATGCTTCCACACTGCAGTTACAGACAAGACGCCGATGACATGAGCTAAATGCAGCGGACCACTTTGCGAATATGCATGCAGCTCGCGGCCTAGCGCCGCAAGTTCGGGTAGCGTTCTCGGGAAAGCAACGGAAATGGGTAAGGAATAGAGGGACAACAGTACGGCCGCCGTTGTGAGCGGGAAAAGTAGCATCACCAGCAGTATAGGAGCGTGCACCTAAAATGGCCAAAGGATCAGATTGAGTAGGGTGGGAAGGGGTGTAGAACGAACCGACGGAGGGCGCCACCAGCGAGCATGCGTACGAGGTGCATCCTTGTCGTTAAAAATGTCACCAAATGTTGTCTGCTGCGAGGATGCAGATATTGGTAAAACCAATTCGTCCCTGCACGGTAGACTGCGGAGACGAAGGAGTAGACCAGTTTATAGAGTGAGTTGTGGGCACGTGCAAGAGATCTAAGAAACTGGATGCGATCACTGCGAACATGGAATGTTTCTGGTCCGGTTCAGGTGAGGCAAGTATTTGAGGAGAGGGTTCAAGATGTGACTTATCCACAGATGGTGTGGACGGTGTGGATGGTTCGGATTGCTGTATAGGGAGAATGAGTGAAGAAGAGCGACGTCTTCCCAACGTGTTTATGGTGAGTGCAGGACGTATGTTAGTTGAAGAAGCACGACTGCGATTAGGCGGTGGTACAGCCAAAGAGCCCATCAAAGTCACTGCAGTTAAGTAAAAGGGAAAAATGGGAAGGTTGAAAAAATAACAACTAAATATATAATACGTAAACTAGTCTGACGCAAACGCTCCGATCGGCACGTATGAGCAATCCCCGATATCGGTCGGCTATTGCAAGTTTTCACTCTAATATACACTACAATTGCAGTACTATCAGGTGCTATCGCGGACGTCGGCAGGTAACACGCAAGCACGCCGGACATACACAGCATCATGATCCGTCATCATCACTGTGTCCGACTTACTCAGACCTGTCGGACTACGTAATCCAACACCATCCGTGACAAGACTCTAGCTCCGTTGGTTCAAACGGTCGGCATCGGTGCATAGATGTCATAGCATAACATGGAAATTGTAGTAGGCACCTCTTCATAGTACACCGGAATGACCCCTCAATGCGCTCTCCTGCTCTCCTGGATAATGTTACCAAGCTCCTCCAATTTGCGCTTTGCACGAAGGAGTGTACCAAGCTAATCAATGTATCAGTCCGACATCCTAACGAGTACACTAGCACACCTACCCGTTTCTTCGTCAATTTTCTTGCCTTCTTATCCTGAATAGTCACATCAACGCATTTAAGAACTTGTTTAGCACACGATAAGATCAACGCACCTTGGCATTTCTCAACAACTCAAGTACTCGACGCTCATATGGCGCAAAGCCAGAAACTTCCCGCACGACAGACCGCACGAACTTGTTTTTTGTCGATTGAATGCCCTTGCGGTGGCTGGGGCGCGTGGTCTTAGGAATGGCGGTGGTAGGGTAGCCCTTGTTCAGGCCCTGGCGCAAGTCTATGTCGACATTTGCGATGAGCGGTACAAAACATTCAAGCAAGTCACTCACTGCTTCGTACCATTTTCTTCAGGTCTTGAGGATGTGCGGTTGTTATTGGCGTCCAAGTCTACCTTGCCTCTTTCCAGGAGTCACGTGTGCTGTATTGTGGCTGATGGTACTGTACAGTTTCTTTTCCAATATATTCCCACAACCTTTGACGGAGACATAAGGATTAGAACGTCGAAGACGTTGTATATGCAGTTTGTATGCAGCTGTACACTATTATGTGATCTATGCTGTGATTGCAGTCATGGATGCGCAAATAAGACATTCGAAACCTAGATAATCTGTGCAGCAAGTGTCATGAGCCCGCTCTGTCCCACAACACTCGTCTTAGTATTGCCGCACGACTTTCACCCTTCCTGTGGCACGCCCCGAGGTAACCACGTTGTCTTCTATATGAGGCACTGCAATGGACGTCGGCGATGTCCGCGCGGAAGAGGGGAGGTGGATGGGTGTGGGTGGCCGGGGTGAATCGGCGTATTGCTCACCTCGGATTAGGTGCCTCCGCGAGCCTCCTTCCTCTTCCTCTTCTTCTTCCTCCTCCTCCTCCTCTTCATCGTCTTCAATGGTTTCCTGTAGGAGGTAAAGCAGCTTGTATGAGTGAAAACGTCTCCGTGCCGAGATTATACCCTACCGCATCAAAGTCTTCCATTAGCCGATCGTCCTCATCAATGTCCTCCTCCTCATCATACTCATCGTCATCTATCCACCGACCCCTCCAGTCTACCATATCCAATTCATCTGGGCTCTCCGGTCTCACCCGTAACCATTGCATCCGGGGTCCAGTCTTGGCCCGTTCACTGACTTTGAAACCATATATTCGTGGTTGATAAAGATGGCCGGCAGGGCGTTTCTGCCCCCCATGCGGATTTGGATTGATAAAGGGTGAAGGTCGCGAAGAACTACTACCCGAGCCACTGTGTGGCGAGCGCCCGGGAGACATAGATGATCCGGGGGATGACGAAGGTTTGTAGAACGGCGCTGGGGCAAGTTCACGATAACTCTGGAAAAATAGGTGTGCAAATGTCGTTCCAAAGAAGGCCCCTACATCCCTCAAGATCTCGGTGAGAAGTACTAACGGTCAGTAGAGATACAGCTCACACACCATCGACCCCTTGGAAACGACTGCTCGGTGGTGCATAGATATCATTGCAATTTGGACAGAAAAGTTTGACTGTGTCAAGACCGGGAAGATCAGAACGACCGGAAGGAACTACATTGCAGCCCATGCAATATACACGCGGGCAGACGCCAAAGAGGGCATTTTCATACTTATCAACCTGTGAGAAAGGATGATCGACTCGATCAAGTGTGTTGGTGCACGATATGGTTGACTCACCATTGCTTGCAATCCAGCACGCGTCAGTATATAACGTTGATGTACTAGACCGTACAATAGTTCAGCTGATGCTTCGACGATTGACACGTCGGGTATTTTTGAGGAATCTTCGTCTCGGAGCGAATAAGATCGTTGCGCCACAGAATGAAAAAGGCGACGTACCAGGCTCCACGTCCAACACCATCTCCATTGCTTCCTTCCAGAATGGTACCATGGCATTCAAGCCGGTGAGGTTGAAATCATCCTCGATAAAATCTTCCGAGACTTCACAGAAGTACTCGTGGCCAGGCAGTGAGCAAAACCAGCTAATCCACGTAAGGGTAGATGTAGGAGTAGATGATGCTGAAAATGAACATGGAGTAAGTTAGCGAGCTGTCGATAGATTTCTCCAACTCCAAAAAAACGCGCAAAGAAAGTTACAACTTATGAAGTCCGGAATGAATGATAGGTTTGATACGCACTGTAACCTTCTTCAACTTCCTCCATAACCTCGTCGCCCTCACCAATACCACTAATTACCTCTTCCTCCTCAAGCTCGACCTGCTCCTCCTCAAGCTCGGGTGGACGGGACATAACGTTCACACTTTAAGTCAGACTGGCTGACGGGCTGTGGGTCTGCATTCTGTTTCTCCAGAAGTTCCAGATTAGTATTCAAACTCCGCTTTCGTGTTCACAGCTGCAACGCTTCGATCACGACAAACTTTAGCAAGATTTTGGGCCACAGGGAACAGTTACAAACCTCGGAGCATATCGAACACATGAACCCTTTTCCTAGCACATTTGTATGTAATACTTGGGTCTATTTGCAACTCACGACGTCTGGAAACTGCATGTCATCTGTTCTTTTACATGTCCACCCCAAAATGAAGATCCCATGATAAGCAGCAGCAATAATTGCCCAGCAGTCCAACTGATGATGGTATATGAAACAGCCTTCCATCCTTTCAATGCGCCAATCTCCGCAGCAAAGGTGCTGATTGTCGTTAGACAACCACAATACCCGTCTCCTAAACCCTGAAGCAACGAGCAAGCATTTTGGGAAACTGGAGATGGGAAGCCTTGAACTACATGGAAAAAACCAAGGAGAGCGGTCCCAAGTGAGTTTGCCATGAAAGTTCCAAGAGGTATAGTCTTCAAGCGGGGATTCAAATTTATCGACAGAAGGTACCGAGTTAATGTGCCAGGGAACGAAAATAGGAGAGCAGCTGTCGCTTGATGGCGGAAATTGCCTGGCAGGAAGAAGTACACAGGAAGGGTCGCTGCGTATGTGAGGATCGCAAGGAAGGTGAGCGTGTATCGGAGGTTCTTGCTTGGCGGTGGAGGTGCCGAGAAATACGGCTGAACTGCTCCACAGACGTATACTCCAAATTTTAATGACGCTAACGACAACACGAGGGTGACCCAAGTCTGGGTAAAACCATCCATGAACTGTTCAACGTAAAAGAAAACGGCGTCATGAATTGACCACAAAAAAAGGCAAGGGTCTGCTCACATCTCGAAGACCGCCTCTGAAGAACTGACCACTATTCACCCAGGAATCAAAGATGTTCACCTGCCACCCAGAGAATGTTGTTAATGATCCACAGAACCCTGTGGCAGGTTAATGGGTACTATGGTGTGATAGCAGGGGTACTGACCAGTGGTCAAGGCCGTGTATAACGGACCATAGCTGCGGAAAAGTATGAAAGGCTAGGCGGTGAAAGAGAGAAGGGACACATACAAATTACCAAATGGTACTTTCATTCTTAAGCCAACACCCATGATAAAGCACCCTGTGGCTTGGACGTAAGCCAATGGGAAAATACTTTGGCCGTCGTAGGTTGTAAGCGCTTGTAAGCCGAGCCGTGCGAGGACGCCGAACATTGACGCGGGCATGAGGAGGGCTAGCACATGGATTGACAGGGGGTGATATATCTTTGCAGGTGGAAGTTCTTCGACTTCTGATGGAGGGCGATCGATGCTAGCGAGAGTGTTTGCGTCGTCTGTTGTTTGATGACGAGCGAGAATGGACCCGACATCAAGATGCTGTTGCGATGGAAGGTCTAAAGACATTAGTGAGGTATCAGTGTGATGGACAATTTCAGTCTGGGAATATATATTTAATTGATTCGAATTCGACACTTGGAGGCAGCAACAAATTGCAAGAAGCGTCGTTCGAAATCGGGAGTTGATTGCGAACCAGTGGACCAGCCAATGAGAAGCCAGGGATAGAATCGAGCGCTGAGCGCTGAACGTTGAGCGACAATTATGTATTTATACAAACGACTAGCCTATAGTGACTACAAACACGGGCAGGCAAAAACTACTCATAACAATCAATCTTCCTTTTCATGAGCAGGTGATTAGTAGCGGCATGACTAGCTATAGCTCGTTGACTCGACTCAATTACTCTTGGAGTCACAGATCCGGATGCTGCATGTAAAATTGACCTCGACTGGATTGAGGTCTTGAGCTTCAGAACTTGTACTAGTGTTTCGAGTGTACTGTTGTCGGAGATAAGTTGCTGCACCGTAAGGTGCAGGTCTCTTCGCTGTAAAAATATCCACTCGGAAGAAGGTTGATCATGGGTAGAACAATTGTAGCGATGCGAGATAACGGGAAGCCGGGAATGAGGATTGGCACTAAGATGACTTGGATGAGATGATCACGGGCCACGGTGCTGCGGCAACGACACGGGGTCAGACATGTTGCTCGCAGCGGCAGCTCCGAACTACCATGCATGACAATTACTTCGATTGTTGAAGGACCTCAATTGGGGGCCCGCGAGGCTCCTCGGAGAATGACCGTCGCATCTAGGAGATTGATGATGAACGGGGGCAGCTACTGGCAGCTCTGAGCTCATGCTCATTGTAGTTGTGGGAAGTTCGAGAAAGATCGAAGGTCATTTCGATGCGAACCGAGAACGGCGTTTAGCTCGAGTCGGCACAAGTCAAGTAAGTCCGACCCACCGAACTTGATTACCAATTTCGAATTCTAACTTTATCATCCTGAATTTGATTTCCACAAGTGTATATATCTACCATCCTCAGCACACATGCTGTTCTGCCCGACATGCGCTAATCTCCTCGTCATATCCTCAGAAACAGGGTACAATAAATGGGCATGCAATTCCTGTCCATATGAGTTTCCCATCTCCAAGCAGGTCTGTACTCCAGTCATTTAAAAACTATATTATCGTCCTTGATATCAGTCCTTTCATGGCCGCGTCGTAGATGACTTCGCGTTCGCGTATGACGCGCAAGGAAGTAGACGACGTACTCGGGGGAGAGGAGACCTGGCGAGATGCTGATTCTACCGCAAGTTAGTCACTTCTTTTCTTTCGCGATGCAGTAAGTTGATACACAATCCATAGTCACTTGTGACAAGTGCAGTCATCCTCGCGCATATTTCTATCAGTTACAGATCCGATCTGCGGATGAGCCCATGACGACATGTATGTTATTCCTCTCAAATCAATTTACGACCCTTGGCGCTGATCCACTGCTTCCTGGGATCAGTCTACAGGTCAGTGTTACTGGCATCTATGATAGCCAGTTTGATGATCGAGCTCCAGATGCGCCGGCTGTGCCTATCAGTGGCGCGAAAATTGAATTTAAAAAAAAATGGGTGCCGAGATGCTTACTAGCACTTCATGATTCTGATGTGTACACCAAAATGTTGCTAAGCCTCTGGCATCCTCAGTCACGTCGGAGCCACCACCCACACTTCCATCTTTGATTCCATTCTTTGTTCACGGGTGTGTACTACCCATCTCACAGAGTTTCTATCTGCGTGGGGGCCGCATATATGAGCTTGCAAATATCACAGTGTGAGGATTTACACCCACCTCCAAATTATTGCGCCCCGGGACCTCAGTGCGGCTCGGTGCTCACTCCATCCCAGGCTGTGTATGCTTACAGTACCCTCGCCCCCATCGCCGTCCCTCCACGATTTCCCCCGAGCCTGCCACCTAAAGCCCAGGTGTCGTCATATTTCAAACTTTTGCTCTTCCGGAAGCTGGTAACTGTCATCATGCCAACTCAGCATATAACGGGCAGGGTGAACAAATACTACTGCGACCGTTGGAACGGGTTGAATCGGTGACAAACTTACATCATTAGCGCATAGCTTTCCAAGTTGGCGGCCGTGTGCGCGCGAATGACAGCGGCAAGCATTCCGCTTTGGCTGACAAAAAGGCTGTACGTCGGAGGCCGCCGTGTCCACTCATCTATGAATATCATAAATCGCCTTCATGGTCAAGTTGATGCTGGAAGTCGATGGACTAGTCGTTTTATACTTGTCTGAGAATCCAGAAAGCCTGCATAGTAGGTCAAATAGTAGTCACTGCCAGTCGAGTTGCAATCATGATGACACTTGCAATGCGCTAGTGGTTACTTCTCGCGAAGTGAGCTGAACCAAACAAAGTGCGACCACGGCCGACCAGCCCACCAAGTTAGACTTGAATTAGTGTGCTACAGTGTGCTTTCATGTGAAGGGCTTACGAATTTCGAAAGCCATGGCCCATGCATGCATATGTGAGCGCTCGTCCGGACTAGCCGGATTCATCCGGTATTTCCACTGTTCCCAGAATAGAACTTGTCTGTAAAGCCTCACAACTTTTTCATCCATACACACCTTCACTTTTCTCAAACAAACATGTTGGCTCACCGGTCGATTGTTGATGTTGCGCAGGGCGCATTCAGGTCTGCCCAGGTTGGCCGATCGGTCTTTTCTGGTTATTCGGGTTGGCACTTACGTTTACGTTTTAGCCATTGAGACGGTATGCTTCCGCCGCCCCAACTGCAGCTTTTGCTGGGCACAAGGGTAGTAACGTGAGTCTTGCAGCAATCTTCATGTTATAGCCCTTACCAACTTGGCAGGGTAAATACACCGTGACTTTGATTCCTGGAGACGGTCAGTTGCTTGTCCAGTGGAGATTCCGTTGTTTGACGCCGGAGTTTAGGTATTGGCCCAGAGATTAGCGAATCAGTCAAAAACATATACGCTGCTGCAAAAGTTCGTTTGCAGTCTCTCATTTGAGACGAACGTGACTTACAAGTTCAATAGGTCCCCATCGAATGGGAGGAAGTCAGCGTCACTCCCGTTCTGAAAGGTGGGAAAACGGTTATTCCGGACGCTGCCATAAATTCTGTAAAGAAGAACACTGTTGCTCTGAAAGGTGTGTCTGATTATGACTGAAAAGAAGCAAGACACTAAATCCTATTCTCAGGACCGTTGGCAACTCCAAGTGCGCCCCGTTTTCACTGTGATTCACATGTATGCTGAGCGTCCTCAAGTTGGAAAGGGTCACGTCTCTTTGAACTTGACTCTCCGTCGGACGTTCAACCTGTTCGCGAATGTTCGTCCGTGTGTTTCGATCAAGGGCTTTAAGACTCCTTATGACAACGTTGATACCGTGTTGATTCGGGAAAACACCGAGGGAGAGTACTCGGGTATCGAGCACGAGGTAGGGTTCACCCTATGATACATGAGTATTTCTTACGTGAATGTTCTAGATTGTGGATGGAGTGGTCCAATCTATCAAACTTATTACATGGGATGCCTCTGAACGCGTTGCTCGTTATGCCTTCCATTATGCACAGGCTAGCGGAAGGAAGCGAGTCACAGCTGTCCATAAGGCCAACATCATGTGAGTAGTATCTTAGCTAAGAATTACACATGAATACTGATCCAAGACAGGAAAATGTCGGATGGCATGTTTTTGTCCGCATGTCGGCAGGTTTCGAAGGACTTCCCGGGCATCGCCTACGATGAAGACCTTTTGGATCGTGTCTGTTTACAGGTAAATAAACACGAGGCCAATGTGGTGATGAGCACAGCTGAGGACATCTTGATAGATTGTGCAGAACCCCCAACCTTACTCCAATCGGGTCATGGTGATGCCCAATCTCTACGGGGATATTTTGTCGGACATGTGCGCTGGATTGATTGGAGGCCTTGGCTTAACACCGTCTGGTAACATTGGTCGTGTACGTCGCATTTTCCTTTAAGCGGCTCGAGCTGAAGCCTTATGTCCTCTTCCGTAGGATGCATCAATTTTCGAAGCCGTGCACGGATCGGCTCCCGATATTGCAGGTACAGCTCAACTTCACTTTGGGTGTATAACCAATACTGACGTGGTCAAATATAGGGAAGGGATTAGCTAATCCTACTGCTCTCCTTCTATCTTCTCTCATGATGCTGAGGTACGTGAACCCCAGGAACTGACGTGGGCTTCTAGGCTGATCCGGGATACCTTGTATAGACACATGAACTTGAATGAGCATGCTGCCAAGATCGAAGGGGCTGCTCTTAGTGTAAGGTGTTTTTTCCTATTACGCGTATGTTATGTGCTTACGGTGCGCACACTATAGACAATCGCGGAAGGTCAGACGATTACGGGGGATCTGGGTGGCAAGGCCTCGACTAAGGAGTACACGAATGCGATCATCGACAAACTCGCGAAGGCATGATCGTTCCTGTACGCGTAGAGGGGGCTGTGAGATTTATAGACAGATAGACCGTATTTCTTACCAATACTAGATAATTGGGATCGGCTCTAATCTTCGGTCCCTTGCTTCCGCTACCGACTTGGGCTGCGTGGGAAATAGTAGCCTGCGGATGTGATAGGAAAATGAACTCAGTCAATGTTGACTTACGACGACCAGCTTTAAGATCCCTTCCACGCGCCTACACACGGCATTCACTCTTCATAATCCCTCACTCGCCCTACAGGGCAAAGACGACAATAATACTTTCACATTCCTGTCCAACAAGGTTAGCTTGTCAGAACTGGCCTTGGGCAACTGATGAACTCTTGCATAGATAACTCTAGTCCACATTCTTCCACAAAACAGATAATCCAAAAAACATTGAACATTCTGTAATAGTTTCCTGCCTCCGCGCGATACGAACGAAATGACCGACGAATTCACTCAAACACACAACCTGCCGAAGAAGGACGAGAAGAAGCCTTCACCTGTTTTAAACAGAGGTTCAAGGAGAACTTCATCCAATGCTAGACCTTCTTCCGCAGCCGGAAACCTCCAAGGTGCCCCAAGGCCTTCCTCTAGGTCCGGTAACAAGAAACCTCAAACAGGGGCGTCTACTGCTGGCGGTACTGAGTCTGGCTCAGACACCAACAGGAAAGCTCCTGAACAGCCTAAGAAAGCCGAACCTCGTAGCAAGAGCCAGACCGGTGGTGCCACACGAAACGGTAATCACCGCAAAGGGCAACCTTCTGCGTCTCAGGGTACACGCGGCATGACTGGCCATTCCTCTTCGCCTGCACCCCCTTCCGCATCAGAATCGAGTGATGCCTTGTCATCTTTACAGAGAGTCATTGCAGACCTGAAGACAACTTCGCCTCCAAACCAATCTTCCTCACCTGGCATCAGCAATTCGCTCGCTGCTTCTATGCACGCCCCACAAGCACAACCTTCAAACCTTCCAGTCAATGCACCTGTGTTCCAGCCAGGTGCTTCTTCTTTCCCTGGGTCTAGCCTCGCAGATGCTGTCAGACACCGTAAAGCTGTATCGATGGGCACCGTCGGTGTTCCTGGTAACTACAACACCTTCTCGCCTCACCTGGGCGCGATGATGGAAGATGCCGAAGATGGTGCCGGAGCTCTGTTTGAAGATGGCGAAATCCCTGAGCAGTTTTACCAGCATCAACAAGGGCACCAGCCTCGCTCTCAGTCTCAAAGTTTCATGGCTCCTCGTTTCGCTGCTCTCGCAGCACAGGATCAGGATGTTCTTGGACCCACTGGTCGTCCGCAGCTCGCCCCTGGTTTCATGTTCGGAGCGCGCAGGAGAGCTAGCTCTAATGTTCCCGTTGGTCCGTCTATCAATGAGGAAGATGTCAGATTCCAATTCCCTCAGCAACAGGCTAATTTTCCTCCGGATGAACAACCTCATAGGAAACCTGAAGGTGACTTCACAGGGATCATGGCTGAACAGGTATGTGGTCAATCATGTTGTGTGCTTTGTGTCACTAAAATTATCCTAGATTGCCCTCCAAAACCAGATCGAGGCGCTTCAGCAACAACAACAGGCCTTGTATCAACAGCAGCTCGCCTCGAACCAGGTCCTTTCGCTGCAAACTCCGGGATTGGTCCCGAACAGGCACAGGCGTGTCCAAAGCACATTGCCGACCAACATGGGTGGAAATTTAGGTGTCAACGCTTTCAATTCTCCTATGGGCCAATTCAATAGCATGAGCAACCTTGGTCTTGGTCTCGATAATCAGCCAGCCGGTCTTCCACGCGGCCACGGTAGACGACATAGCGTCAATGTTGTCAACAAATCTAGTCCCGCTCAGGGGTCAATCAGCTTCCCTTACAATGGTCAGGACAATTTCGAGGATGGTTTTGCACCACCTCCTGGGTTTGGTGGTCACTCTCGCACCACTTCTCGAGTTGATTCTAGCTGGCGCATCAGTATGTTTATACTCGTTTGCCTGTGGATCCATCATTCATGATTGTTTAGATGGAGGTGTTGGCGCCATTCAAGGCAACAATGCATTCGCCGCTGACCTTGCTCAAGCACAAGCTCAGCTTCAGAGTTTGCAACAGTTCCGTGCTGCGGCTGGCGGCCACCATCATAAGATGCCATCTTTCTCGTTCCCCAACATGCTTCCGAACATGATGGCTGCGAACATGATGGGTCTGAACATGGGTGGTGTCAGCTTACTGCAGCAGCAGCAACAGCAGCAGCAGCAGTTCCAATCACAGCTTCAGCAACAATCCAACCAGCCTCAACGCAAATCTCTTTTCGCTCCTTACCTACCTCAGGCTTCGCTGCCGCCACTTCTTGCAGCAGGAAAACTAGTTGTTGGGATCTTACGAGTCAACAAACGTAATCGCTCGGACGCATACGTTGCTACTGAGGTTCTCGACGCTGACATTTATATTTGTGGATCCAAGGACCGTAATCGTGCTCTAGAGGGTGATATTGTCGCTGTCGAGCTTCTTGATGTTGATGAAGTATGGGGGACTAAGAAGGAGAAGGAAGAGAAGAAACGCAAGAAGGAAGAGAACTCTGCTTATGACTTGAAGTCGTCTTCAGTACGCCGGGACGACAAGAAAAAGGATGACGTTGAAGTCGAGGGCCAAGGTCTGATGCTATTCGAAGACGAGGAGTACGTTTGCATCGTGTTCCCTGTTAGATCATTGACTTAGTCGTTTGTTTCTGCCAGGGTTACCGATGATGTCAAACCTCAGTTTGCGGGGCATGTCGTTGCCGTTGTTGAGCGTATGCCTGGTCAACTCTTTTCTGGCACTCTTGGCCTGTTACGCCCTTCGTCCGCTGCGACTAAGGAGAAGCAGGAGGCTGAGCGCAGAGAACGTGAAGGCGACCGTGGCGACGAGCCCAGGCGCGGACCCATAGAACGTCCGAAGATCGTGTGGTTTAAGCCTACCGACAAGCGAGTACCGCTCATTGCCATTCCGACTGAACAGGCGCCTGCGGACTTCGTCCAGAACTCGGAGGCCTATGCAGACAAACTGTTCGTTGCTTGTATCAAACGTCATGTCAGTGTGTTTTGGCAGTTGTACGTCGACTACATTGACACTTCTTCCATAGCCCATTAGTTCGCTCCACCCATTCGGTACATTGGCTGAAGAGCTTGGCCCCATTGGAGACATCGAAGTTGAAACCAGTGCTCTGTTGAAGGACTGCAACTTCCCTACAGAGGAGTTCTCGGACAGCGTTCTTAAATGCCTGCCTCCTACACCCTGGACGTGAGTTCCTGGTTACCTCTCTCAAAATGTGAGCTGATGATACCATCTACAGTGTCCCAGAGAGGGAGTTTGAGGTCCGGAAAGATCTTCGTGAAGACCGCATATTCTCTATTGATCCTGAGACTGCAAAGGACCTTGATGACGCATTGTCCATTAAGGCCAACGACGATGGCACCTATGATGTGGGCGTGCACGTCGCTGATGTCTCTTACTTCGTCAAGCCTAACACTGCTCTTGACCGCGATGCTCGCAAGAGGGCAACCAGCGTGTATCTTGTGCAGCGCGCCGTCCCCATGCTCCCTCCCACCATTAGCGAAGAGGCGTGCAGTCTTAACCCAGGTGTTGAACGTCTGGCATTCTCAGCTATCTTTACCATGACTAAGGAGGGAAAAATCATCAACAAGTGGTTGGGCAAGACCGTTATTAAGTAAGTGTTATTTTTCCGTGCATTACATAATTGAATTCATTTAATGTTAGGTCTTGCGCGAAACTGTCATATACCGAGGCTCAGAATGCTATCGATGGTCACATTCTAGGTGATCTCGTGGTCGCTCCTGAACACAGTACACAAGCGATCGTGCATGACATCAAGGTCCTGAATGGTCTCGCGAAGCAACTTCGTGCTACGCGCTTCCAGGATGGTGCTGTCGGCCTAACGTCCAAGTATCTCAAGTTTACCCTAGACGAAAACGGCCGACCAGTAGACTGCGAGCAGACCGAGAACACCGATGCAAACAACATTGTTGAAGAGGTTTGTGTTTAGCTTATACCTGAGTTATATCGAAGACTGATTTGAACAATTGTAGTTTATGCTGCTGACCAATATCACCGTCGCGCAACGCATTGCTGTTCACCTTCCCGAGCAGGCCCTGCTTCGTAGACATGATACGCCGCTCGAGAGACGCCTCGTGAGTTGTAATCCCATCCGTAATCCCACTCCAGTTACAACTTTGTACAGAATCTTTTCGCCGAACGTGCCAATCGACTCAATATCGCAGTCGATATCTCCTCTAGCGGTACCATCATGAAGTCATTCGAGGCGATCGCAAACCCGACTGCCCGCATGGTGTTGGAGCTGATCTCCCACAAGGCTACTCAGCGAGCCAAATACTTCTGCGCCGGCATGCTCGACATCGCGAAATACAACCACTATGCCTTGAGCGTCCCCCTCTACACTCATTTCACCTCACCTATCCGTCGCTACGCCGATGTTCTTGTACACCGTCAACTCGAATCGGTTTTGCAGGGTGGACGTAAGTCACGCTTCGCAACCATGCCTGTTATGTTTCTGACAAAATCGCAGTGGAACCCAAATTTTCCATGGACCGTGACGCCGTTGCAAAGATTGCTCAACAGTGCAACATGTTTGTGTCATTTTATTAATAGCTAGTCTGGTGAACTGACGTCTATGAACAGCAAAAAGGACTCGGCGAAGTTAGCGCAGGAGCAGTCGACCCATCTCTACTTATGTGTTCTAATCTCGGATCTCACCCAGCGATATGGTCCTGTTATTCGTCCAGCTACGGTTGTTGGCGTCCTTGAAGCAGCGTTTGACGTCCTTGTTCCCGAATTTGGCATTGAGAAGCGGGTCCATGTGGATCAAATGCCTATAGACGTAAGTGTTTCAGAACTGACTCATGAGAGGAAATTCAATCATTTGAACTAGAACCATGTTTATGACGAGCATTCGCATACCTTGCAAATATATTGGTCGAACAGGGACGTCCTTAGCTGGTTGGCAGAGAACAGCGATGACGAGCACTTGAAGAAGGTTAAGCAAAACGCTGAAGCCCATGCTGTCAAAATGGAAGTTGCATCTCGCTCTGTGCATGACGAGAAGGCCCTCTTTGACGAGGATGATGCCGATGACGATGAAATTGTGTTAGGAAGGGACATGGAAGCTGAGAAGGCACCTGAGACCTCGAAGCAAAGGCTGTTGTCTGCCGCCAAAGTTCAGCCTGTGTTTGAGGGATTGAGGACCACACCAACTGGCCACAGGATTCAGGATATCAAGGAGCTCATGACTGTTCCTGTGCGTATTTCTTCTGAGTGATTCATATACATTTTGTTGACTCGTATACAAGGTTATCGTAACCGCTGATTTGACCAAGAGCCCGCCTGTCATCAAGGTGTATAGCGTCAATCCTTACGCGGAGCAGAAGAAGTGATACTCTGCATCCCCGAAGAGAACGGCGTTTTATGTGTACGATAACCGTTTGATATTCCATCATGCTCTCTTTTCCAATTCCATATGTTACTAACTCATGGTCTGTACTAGTATTCGGTCATCACACGATTTCCTTGTTACATTCTCTCCTTCGCTTCGCCATTATGCCGTTGTTGTCTACAGGCCCTATGTTCGATCGTGTCTTGCTATACTATAGCATTAGTTCTTTGTTAGTGGTATGAAATCTAATGTGTTGTCTTTTGTTCTGAAGTGGCTTGTGAATTGTGAATGTTCGATCAAAACGATTGAATAGATTGTGTATTCTACAATATCATAACAGTGAGTATCTTGTAGCACTATAGTAAATGAGCGTGAATAAGTATATGCATATGCAAGATGCCCGTGGATAAGTCAAATAAAAGAAAACAAAGTCAAGAAAATAAAGTCAGTCATATCAATCATCACACATATCATATCCAAGAAGTGATTGCAGGCTGTCGGGAGTTCGGGGTATTTGCTCGGTTCTCTGCTCCGCCCAGGTTCCGTTCACGAGGCGGAGGTGTCGCTCCCGTCGATTTTCTGCTGGAGCGAGAAGATGAACGGCCCATTTCGCAAGGTTCGCCACCTTCCTGGACGGTGTGTAGGGAGTGGAAGGAAGTAGAGCTACTCATGCTTCCAGCACGTGCATGGATTGCCGTACTGCACCTATTGCATATCTCGTCATTGCATAGCTTGAACAGCTCGTCCAGACCAAGATAATTGGCCTCGTCACGAAGCTCGAGTAATGCCACAAGTCTTGCCCGTGACGAGGACGCAAGTTGGATGGCTCTAGGAATAATGGCCGGGTGTTCTGAAATAAAAGGAGGAGTGCGGAGATACGACAAGATGTGCGCGTATCTAGAATGATAGCATTGAGGATTATACAGTCAGAAGCGGGAGGTACTTACGGAGCACCTGGCCTGTCGAGGAATACATGTATATTCATGGCTGACTGTGATATAGCCCCAGAAGACGCTAAATGATCATGAAACATGGCATTGAAGGAGTTGTGTGGAAGTTCAGAAAAATCGCTTGCATTAGAGTATAACGATGCCGCAACTGATTTTCGTGGCAAGAGGGAAGTGACATAATTTGAGAGGTAAGAAGGCCTTGAAATAAGAGTACCCAGTGTCGTGCGGTGCGTTGCTGAACTTGTCTCTATGGTCACGATAATCTTGGAAGGATCGATCGCACTGCTAGGGATAGGGGACAGCAGAATAGGTTCAAAAGGAGGTTGGGGAGGCGTAGTAGAGACATTAACAGGAAGTGGTGGTACGGGGGGCAGGGTCTCTGCCAAAGACGGGGAGGTCTTTGCTTTAATGACTGGACGAAGGATTATGGATGATGTCGTTGGCGCAGGGGGAGGAGGACGGGTTGGACATGGTGGTATGGATGTATCTTTCGCCGGAAGACTCGATGAACTACTATGTGTGGAGGTGGATATAGTTGAAATTGACGACTCAAGGGAAGCCTTCGACGGCACAGGTGGCGGACCACCCGAAAGTGGAGGTGAGTCCATTGCCTCCTCAGAGGGAGCCTCAAAAGCGGACCCCCGTTGACTGCCATTAACTTCATCACCAAACAGAGCGCTCGTACCAGACAGCGCCTCTTGTGGTGTCCTCACAACCATGGCGCCGCTTCCAAGAGGCCCACTACGTTTGACATTGAAGAAATCCAAGGAGCTGTCAAACCTAGGTTCTGATATGCGAACTGGTGCAGCTACGACACCATGTGGCGAAGCATTGGAAGAAGAACTCGTATTGCGAGTCAGCCAGATCATTGGCCTCGAGACTGAAAGTTTGTGACCTTTTTGAGGTGTAATTTGAGGTGATGCTGGTGCAGAAGATAGAGAGAAATGATGCAGAGCTAGCTCTGTTGTTTGTGAGCTGGATGGATGCTGAGGACGACTTGGAATAATCATGAAGGGAATTAGTGGAAGCCGAAGAAGGGCACTCGTGGACGACTAAGAGGAGATTAAGGCGGTCAAAGAGTACAAGCCCGTTAAGAAGTTAATGAACAAAAATATTAAACCAAATTGTTGTTTTCAGTTATCCGAAGAACAAAAAGATTAGAAAATGATCGGCGCTAATGTACAACACTTACCTCTTTGGGACAACAAGATTTAAAGCACTCGTGGGAATATTGACAATACTTGCTGGCATGACTTCTACAGTCACCACAAAATTCCAGACCGCTGTACCCTTCGCACTTCTTTCAATTTCACCCAGTCTTGCTTCCCTTCATGCTTCTCGAGCACGTTCTCTCTACCCAGAAGAGTCTGATTCTTCATTCGCCATGAATTGTCTGCGGTGTGGTTCATATCTGTTGGCCGCCGATGGCTCTGTAGAACTCCGCAGACCAAGAAAAAGGAGAAAGGTTGCTGACAATAAATCAAACGCCATAAAGACTACTTGTCATCGTTGTGGCTTCATTTCCTATACTTCATTTGATAAAAGAGAGACATTCCCTCGGTCAAAGCCTGCCACTGGAGCCGAACTATCATTACCATCGTCGGTGCTTTCAGCGCCCGTTTCATCTCAGTCAGAACGCAAACCGAAAAATGAATTGATACCGCCTTCGTCACGTTCTTCCGTGCCAGTTGGTTTATCCCCTGTGGCACATTTAACACGAGGAACTACACCTGACTTGTACACGAAACCCAAAAAGAAGACAACGGTATTGCAGGAGATGCTGGCTCGTAATCGAGAGAAAGAGGCTGTAAGAGCAAAATCCCAGCAAAAATCACCACCAAGTGGCCTTGCATCATTCCTGAGCTCACTACAATGATAAAAAGGTGCGCTATCAATCTTCCATATAACTACACCGTGTTCTCGAGACCTGACATCTTCAACAATAGTCCCCTGATGGATTTCAGCGGATGTGTATGTCCTTCCTCATGCTCGGGCTTGAGCGCACTTGGATGAAGCGGTTGGGTAATCAGGAAATTCAGAAGATCGCTCCTCCGATGATGGTAGACAACGTATTGGAAGCTCACGCTGAAACAATACGTGAACAGCGATTGTGCATGGTATTTGACCTTTTCAACTACTGTAGTGCCCGGTTCATTGATCTGAAGCGTGCGCACGGAGTACTTGTACAGCTCTGGCACGAACATACAGTAGCTTCCCTTGCAATGGAGAGAAATAGCTCAACGATATCAACAAATTCGCTCCGCGGCCTCTCTGAAAATCCACCATCCGTCAGTCAGCACTGACGCAATCAACTTCCGCTTTTTGTTGTGCTCCTATAAGTAACATTTTCTTCATCACTATGATGAAGTCTCAGATATTTTGGGAAATTTGTGCCGACGATCAGGATCCGAGGAGAAGGGGGGAGGATCACTGACGCAAGGCATGAATGCATATGTGACCGAATTGCTTGCATCTGTTCTGGAAGTCAGAATCGGCCTCTCACCCTCTGCATCACTGCTCACCTGTCTCTTTCTGCTGCCTCGTGCCCACGCTGTGTCACTCAGGCCGATTCTCAGCCAATCGAAACCACCGTGGTCGGCAAACCTCGATTCAAAAGCCTGGAGTGTTACTGCCAGTGGTCAGATTTCAACGCTGATCGAGACTTTTCTTGATCTGAAGACCAATGGTGGATGCAATCGTACCGGATCGTCAACATGATGCTGGTCAAAACTGGAGCAGAGATAAACGGGATTCAATTCAAGTCAATAAAATCGCTCTGGAAGTGCGATCTGGATACGAGATCAAATCTGACTCGGAGTGAAGAGCGATGGAATTTTTACTTTGGCAATGCTGGTTTGATGCCTGTGAGCATTTCTTTTAATCAAAGGCTGAGTCCATCAACATTCCTTGCTCAGGTGAAAGCAACGATCGGCAGCTCGGTGCCAATTGTATCCACTAGTCCATTTGATTCCACAGCATCTAATTCCGTTAACATGCCTCTATTCAAGATCGTTTCGAATGAAGACAAACAGTCGCGATTCGATTCTCAGAGTGACTCTGACTGAATTTTAACTCTTTTCATCTCATCTCATTCAGATAGTAGACTATGGAAAACCGGACACCGTGCTCTGTTTTTCGTCACGTGCGTCAAAAGACACCAGACACCTTGTTTTTGTTTGCTGTACATGCGATGACTAAAGGTCACGACCTGCGCTCGCATTTACACAGGTATTTGCAGTCTCAAATTCATTATCATCTCATGCCAACAATTCGTAACTACGGTTGATGCAACAGAAAATCAAAACATCCAGTTTGTGCCCTGTGCCACATACCGCCCGGGACCATCAATCGAATCTGTACGAGATGTCTTTGACCCAATCCCGTTCCGGTGTCCCGTAGTGACTTTCCACAAGCATTCTACAAGTGTAGATCTCGATGCGAGCCTATGCAATTAATATTTCCATGATCTATTTTTTTCATGAAAGGTTATCTCATCTACTACTTTTCAGGTCGCAGTAAACTGTTGTGAGATACCAATTTTGAAAATTTCCAGTCACCTAAACTTCAGGGCTCTCGAGCGGCATGGAAGATGCCACCATTCCTCGGAAAATAATACATTTATTGATGTAGGCTTCGAGGAGAGATGAAGAACGGTCCGTGTTGGTGCATCCGCTGCTGACAGTCTCACTGCACGCCGGTGAATGATAGACAGTGAGGGCATGAATGTTCACCTGAATGAAGTGCCGAGAAGAAGTCAATGAGTGCTGATTCTTCGGTATTAAGTCGTAGAAGGCATGTATCATAACATGGTGATGCTCGCTTCCGTACCACTGCGCTCAATATGGTCTAACTAACTTTAGGGAACTATTTCCGGGTCCTGTCTGCCAGTGGCCCCGGTGTCTCACGACGTCAACGCCTCCATAAATTTTGAATGAAGTGGAAACGCCATGGCCATTCTGTTATTCCCTATTTTGCCTGCGTCACGATCAGCTGCTTACGAGGAAAATCCCATGTTGAGGGTAACTGTTTGTACCTTTGTCTGAGTGACATCACGAGCGGTGTGCTCATCATCCGGGAGGAGCTTGATAGATTGATAGATTGCAACCAGAGGATATGTCCACAGGCTTGGAACATCCCCAAGCAACCTGCAGGCGTAACACACCCTTCTTGTTATTTCCAAGGCTTAGTGGGTGTACCTTACATTTTAAAGCTGCCGCAATTATTATTGGTTCTGGTAAAATCTTAAGCAATGCGCTCAACCTGTGACAGGAATTTTGATTTTTACGGACCGCTCATGCAGCTACGCGGACCAGACCTTATCGATGAAATAAATCTATGACCAGCTGAGAGCACATCTTTCTCAATCTTCAGGCATTTAACATGACTTGTCGCAGGCTCCAAAGGCTGCCCAGCAGAGCACCATGAGCCTCTTGAAGATCCCCTCCCTCGTAGCTTCAGCCGTTTGTGTCCATTTTTTATGTAGAAAAAGGAAAACCCCCACTTTTATTGCGAGTAGTCTTGCCACCGCGATCGGGGGCGCGTTGACGTTTTATTGCATATTGACGTTAGGGAAACTTTGGAGCTTCCAATTCAGCATCAGAAAGTGCGCAAACCTGTGACAAGCGGGCCGTACTTTGTGGTTCGGCACCCAAGGCTATACTGGTCTCATAAAATATGGGGACCATCGTCATGTACGAAAGCCAAGAGCCGTGGATGAGACAATCTGGGATTATTTTTAATTCCCTTTGCGAGAGTACTGATCAATGCATGCAGCTGACTCTCCTCGCCAGTACTCGCCGCTGAGTGTATGAACCAATGACAACACTACTATAGTTCGTAAAGTATCTATACAGTCCTATGTATAAGTTTCTTGAAATGAATGTAATGTACCAAAGAAATTAAATGAGCGTGGCTACCTCAAGAGTTACACTAGAGAAGGGCTAGAAATGGATGATTCCTTCTGTTCTTTAACGTAGGGGTGCGCTGGCTTGATGAACCTTCCGGGCCAGAACGGAACGTACACAACGATAGCCAAGCAAATGGGAATCGTATCACCCAGATAGAAGGCTGCCTCACTTGTGCTGAGATTGCCGCGGAAGCCCTGACTAGCCTCCACAACACGGTAGAAAGAACGAATCTATCAAATCATTAGTCAAAGACTTTGAGATTACTGTCTATATGCAACACGAACCAGAAGTCCTATGGAACTGACCGACAAGGCAGCGGCCAGTGTTCGCCAGTCGTTATACCAGGGTTGCTTTGAGTCTCGCATGCAGACATCCTGTTCCTCGGTGTAGACCCTGTAGAGGAATCGTGCATAAATGGCACAGAAGAAAACGAAAGAGACCAGTTGCATAATGAGGCCAATCAAAAAAATCTGATAGATATAGTTAGACCAGATTCCCACAGGCAAACGATAGGTGCAAGGACATACGTGAAGTCCCGTCGATGCCGAACTTTGAACCTTGGACGTGGTCAATGAAGCTCCTCCCGCCTTGACACCACATCATCAGAGAAGGTCATTAAAAAAATTCAATGCTCACCTGGATGACAAAGGTAGTCACGTCGGACAAGACGAATATAAGGGTGAGCCGCTTCACTGGAAGCAAGACGTGATGAGCGCAGTCAATTTCACCGGCAAGGCGACCAAGAAGAGTATAATTCGCGGCAATGAAGAAACAGGGCTTTTAAGGGTTAACACATGTTCATAGTCACAGTTTGGTGCTGACTCACAGACAACACGATCATCAAGTCCTCAGAGATGAAAATCCCCAATGAGTCAGGGCTATGATGCAAAGCGAAGCGAAACGCAAAGCCAAGAGCATAGACTATAACCAACATGAAGAAGAGCCAAAACAAGCGAAAAAAAACAGCCATGTACCGTATTCCCCGATGACCATGGACAGCATGAACTTTCCGCCATTATAGATTACCTGATAAGTCTGAATGAGAACAATCAACAGCACATAACCTTCACACCATAAGTTTCGTGTTTCCCTGGCTTAGTGGTCACTCACCAAAGGCGACAGCAGTGAGCGTATTGTTAGCGATATATCCGAGGGCATTGCATGGGTCGTTTCGTGGGTCTAGATAAGGATCGGAAGGACATGTCACAGAATTGGTGGCTGCCTGAGCCGAGGTGACAAGAAGAGCCAAGAGAAACAAAGTGCTCGCTAAGATTGGGCCAGCCATGAAGAAGGAAGACGAAAATAAGAAGATGAAGGATACCCTTCATAGGTCAACGAGCTTGGCTTTTATGCTTGAATGAGTCCAGCCAAAATATACACCACAACGCGGTGCCAAATGATATCCATGGGCACCGCGAGGCAGTGATTTTGACACCCCATGCACACATAGAACTCATCTGAGGTTTACGGTAACAACGAACAGCAAGAACATTTTGAAATCATACCTCTTAGATAGTCATGTACCTGTGGCATTGTGGTATCGCCACTGGAGGTTCTCAGGGTCCAGGCGCTCAAATGGTATATGACACTCTGTCTGCGAAGTCAAAGTAAGTATTCAATTAACCAGAGCTAGGACTGGATAAATAATAAATCTACGAGAATTGATTGGAACACTGTAGTCTAAAGCGTGGGTCAGAGGTTCGTCCATGCTAGAAAATGGCTCCAAGCTCTGATATAGTGGTTGAAGCGCTGAAGTCGGAGAGGTAGTCGTGTGTTACTTGCTGTACGGCAATCTAGACACCACTGTATGTGCGGACAGCTCGGAATGCTATAGTTGCTCAGTTGTGTGGCGGGTTGAAGCCGTCGTCTAGGTAATGTAGTAGAATTAAGCACAGGTCCAGGAGAGAATAAAAATGCGACATACTTCGAGACATTCTCGATGCAGGCAGGCTGTTGGGCCTAAAGCTATCCCGCAATGATTGATCAAGCTTTCAAATTTCAAATTTCGAGTCATGTGGTCATGTGCAATGTGCACTGCGGCCATATGACATCGACGCGTGATGCTACAGTGACACCTCGGCTAACGCTGAGCGCTGATGCGCAACTACTACTGCGCAATGGAAACTAACTTATTTCAACTGAAAGTAGCGTGGATCTACTTGTTTTCAATCATACTTCAATGCTTGTTGGTCAAAATTTCAAGAAACAAAAAATGTCGTCACAAAAAGTTGAAACCAAGTTCAAAACCGGCCCTTGGAGCCCCCAGGACAATGCCCCATGACCGGAAATGACATTATGAGGCTACGGGGAGGTTGCTTGGCACCGCCGCAGCATTGCTGATGCATGCGGGGACTTCAGTGGTCACCCCAATCCGTCGGTGGGACTTATGTCGGGCATTAGTGACATAAATCCTTTTCTAATTCCGATTCAATAAGTACGCTGTAGACCAGAAACAGTAGCAATAGCTATGGGGCAAACTATGATATATAAGTTCGATTTTTTTGTAAAAATTTGAAACATCCCCGCAAAAAACCTGAAAAAGTGTATTTTGGGCATGTTCCTTCCTAAAAATGTCTACGGAATCGTAGTAGAGTTTGAGCTTCTTACACTGTAGAAGTCACATGCCTGGTCACACCGGGACCCCCTGAGGCCTGAGGTTGCTCATGCAGCTTTGCCAGGCCAACAATACCTGCTGTTGAATCATAATGCACCCAAAATAAAAATCTTGCGTGAAATTCATTCAAGTTGCATAGATTTATTAATGCACGGCCGCTGGTAGCATTTGCGCCGTACTAGTATCCACACTGAATTAATAGAATGTGACCCCGTCAGTCAGAACGAACGGGAGGCATTCAAGTAGGCGGTAGTGAAATGATACACTGTAAACTCGGTGTGATACAATGCCGACCCTCGCGGATGGTAAATGGTTCATGATTCAGTGAAAATCAGTCTAGTACTCGTTCTCTCCCGGGCTACCAGGTATCTTCAAGTATGTACTCTGTGATACTCAGACCATATAGAAGGAAGATAGCCGCTCCTTCTATTATGATAATGAGTACTCTACTTGCGCATGGTAATTCAAGTGTCTTTTTGGTGGATAAGCGAGTCTATCACAATTATATAGTAACTGGCACCTCTACTTAAACGCTTAAGGCGGTACCTTGGCACCGTCCATGTCGATTGACAAGCACTCTCACCACTGAAACAACGTACGTGAACTAACACTACCCGAGCTGCAAGGTCCTTATATAGCACCTATTTGTGTGCTATGAATATCCTGACATAATAAGTAGACTGAGGAATAAATAAAGACAGAATATGTGTAATCAGTAGTCACTAAGCACCCCTGTGCGTACTTCACGATTGTGACCTAAATCACTGAGAGAAAAGGCCAACTCCTGACCATTTTGCGATTCGTTGGCGGAGGGCGCTAGCTTGGCCGCAATGAACCTTCCGGGCCAGAATAGAACATAGATCCCGATGGCTACAAGAAGGGGAAGTGTATCGCCTAGGTAGAAGGCTGTCTCGCTTAATCCGAGACTGCCGTGAAAGCCCTGAGCGGCCTCCGCAACACGGTAGCATGAACGAATCTGAAAAAGCGTTTGTTAAAGGCCACAAGGTTGCTGCATGGAAGACAAACCAGAATGCCGATACAACTGATCGTCATGGCAGCGGCGAGTGTTCGCCAGTCGTTATTCCAGTGTTGCTTTGAGTCTTGCATCCAAATAGCCCGCACTTCAGCGTGGACCTTGTAGAGGAATCGTGCGTAAATGATACAAAAGAAAAGGAATGAGGCCAGTTGCACAACGAGGCCAGCCAAAAAAACCTGATAGAGATGATGAGAGCTCACTCGGATTGAGACAAACGTGGATACAAGAAACATACATGAAGTCCTATCAAAGCAGAATTATAAACGGTGGACGTAGTCATTGAGGCTCCTGCTGCCTTTGACAAAACACCATCAGAGAAGCTCGCTGAAAAAACATGATACCCACCTGTACGACAAAGGTAGTCACGTCGGACAAGATGAAAATGAGGGTGAGCCATCTCACTGGAAGCAAGACCTGATAGGTGCAGCCGATGTCCCTGGCAAGGCGACCAAGGAGAACGTAATTTGCGGCAATGAAGAAACAGGGCTTCACAAAGGATCAGCAAGTGAGCATTATTGCTGTTTGACGCTAACTCACAGATAAAACGATCATCAAGTATTCGACGATGTAAATCGCCAGTGAATCAGGATTATAATGCAAAGCGAAACGAAACCCAAAGCCTATAGCATAAACTACAGCCAAATATCAGGAAGAACCAACACAAGCATGAGATTGAGACGTGCTGTATTCCCCGACGACCATGGGCCACATCCACCTCGCACCCTTATAGATAATTCGGTAAGTTTGGGTGAAAGCGATCAGTAGCACAAGACCTTGGAACATTGAGTTACGCGCGTCCCCAAGCTTACTGGATACTCACTAAAGGCGACGGCAGTTGGCGGAATGCTAGCGATATAGCCAAGGGCATTACATGGGTCGTTTTGCGGGTCTAGGTAAGGATCGGCAGGACATTGGGTAGAATTGCTGGCTGCCCGAGTCGAAGTGACATAAGTCAAAAGAAGAGTCAAGGAAAATAAAGTACTGGCTAAGATGGAGCGAGCCATGAAGAAGAAGAAGATGATGATGATGATGAATGCCCTCTATCGAACAAACCTCAGTTTTTATGTTGGAGGACGAAAGAGGGTCCATCAAAAAATTCGCCGCGTAGCCCGACACCGTAGTCATTCATGTGAATTGTGAGGCAGTGGGTGAAGACGGCCGCAGTATAGAACACATCAGAAGTTCACCGCGGTAATAACATTTGGGACGGTCTATAAAATCAATACCTTAATCGTCATTAAGAATTTATGAACAATGATGTGTCCGCGATAAGATTGGTGGCATTGCCTTTTCTTAAGGTTTGGGAGCCCAAAGGTTGTATAATTCCTTGTCTGCAGGGTCGAAGCAGGTGACCAAAGCTATATCCGAGCGAATGGTGATTTTACGAGGGGTGTTCAAATTGACTGGCAGACTGCGGAGTGTGGGCCGCAGAGGTTCGTCCATGCGGTAGAAACTGCCTGCGGACTCGGATATAGTCGTTGAAGTCGGAGAGTTTGCTGCGTGGTCCTTGACATGCATGATCAGTAGATGATTTCGGAAGTTCCCCTATCTACTAACCTCTGTGGGTTTGCGACTTCGCAATTCTGGGATTGCTGCGGTACTGCCCACTCCGGAATCGTCTAGGCAACAAAATTCAACATAGGAAAGGTAGGGGACAGCATACTTCCGACCATGAAGCTTGTTTCTTGATGTAGCAAACGGATGCTGAGCTGACATATTATCCTGTGCCTATACTTCAATATTCAATGGCTACGGTGGTATGCAGCAAGTTAAGTTGGCGTGTGTGACATTTGACGCGGCGTGACGCTACAGATAACGCGACTGGTCACACCCGCGCCGTCTGGTCCTGTGGCTCCGATCTCCCTTTCGATATTGCCACTATGAACATCTTCAAGAGTCGTAAGTGCAGTCGTTTTTTTGGTCTGTATACTTCTAATATTTTCTGCTATAGTCCTTGGGAAAGTATGGCGTACGTTCGATCTTGCTAGAAGATATGTCCGATGGCCTGACCTTACTACTCTCAGAGGACCCCAATGCTGCCGAAGTCGTCAAGATCGAGATGGGCCAGTTGTACCTTGTCAGGCCGGGGAACATCCGGTCATCAAGGGAATGCATGTGCGAGCTTTTGTCGGTGCATCATCTAATTATCCTTGATTTCATTGCAGATACAACGAAGCAATAGCGACCATACGCCGTGTCCCCGCACTCGACCACAATTTTCAGCTAGTCATTACACGAGTATATGAAGATGGCGATCAGGAGCTTCTCGAAGATGAAGACGAAAGTGCGTAAATCTATTGGATACGTCATCTAGCACAGGCTTTCACACGCGACGAATGATAGCTGATGAAGAGAGGGTGTTCTTGATCAGTGAAGAACTTGAATTCCATTCTGGGGTGACAGACGATGAACCAACTTTCATTTGGCGCGACCTCGATGGGGATGTCGACGAATTGTACGAATTCGTAGCCTCAGGCACCAACGAACCGACTCGTGCGTTCTTTGAGACTTGCATGTATCGCGCAATGTACGAGCGCAAGTTCAAGGCAAGTGCGGATAACACAAAGGACTCTGACTTGGATCAGTTTATATGGCAGTTAGCGCTTCACGTCATGTCGCCCTTAATCGCTCCCTG